AATAACTACTTACATCCCATTCTGTATCATTGCTATTGCACATTCCCGATGGACTTTGTGTGAGCAGGGTAAAATTTGACACCCACTAAATGCATCCTACATACAAAAAAAAAATAACAAACAACAAAAATGAGAGAATAATCATTTCAACTAAAAAAAGTTCATGATGCAATAAAAATGATATGAAAGGCAAGCCACTTGCTTTGCACAACTTGTATTTTTTAAGTTTTGAACAGTTCAATAGCTTTGCAAAATAAGATTTACAACTGACAGAACACTAAGAAAACTCACACAGAAACAGGTAAATGTACTTATAGATTAACAGTTCACCTCAAGACAAATGCAACATTCATCATGACCAGAGTCTGGTCTGCATTTGTGTTTCCCTTGCAGCCGTTTGTCAAGACACACATTACATACATCACAATGGAATGACTTGTCTTTGTGTATTCTAAAAAAACAAAAAACAAATCAATAAATATTTCCTACAGTGACTGACTTCATAAGTTCTAGAAAGCTAGATACACAAAAAGTAAGAGAAGATTAAGTATAATGAATTCCAATGAAGCACAATATCTTCACCCAATACATCTAAATTAAAGAAATAAGTATGCTAACAAGGTTAACTGCTAACAGCTTAGCAGGCATACTGAGTCTGCAGCCATTGTCAAAAGTGCAGGCTCATGTGGAACATCATGACTACATTTCATTTAGACCTTGGTGTTTAAGAGCAGTTTTCATGATTATTGTCTTTCAGGCCAAACCAATTGGTATCACATATTTCAAAGACTACCCCAACATGTAAGTTGCAGGGATTTCACAGTCAATGGGGGAACATTCCATCTGGGGCTTTCTGAACATAGGGAAAGGGAGGCAGTAGTTAATCTCAGCAAACATATCCATTTCACAATGAACTTTCACAGTGATATAAGTTTGGGATGATTAGTTGTGGCCATTATGATGGAAAAGGTTTCTTCAAAATTATGACATGAAGAGAACTTACCTACATATCCCGCATTTATCACAGTGATAAGGGTTTTTGTCTATACTTGTGAAGTGCTTGCAGATTCCACAAAAATAAGCTGACATCTTTGCTCCACAGCTACGACATTTGGCACTATCTTCAGCAATCTGCAAAGAGAAGAAAACATTTTTGTTTTTAGTGATTGGTAAAATCATCAGGTCTCAACTTAAAAGCCAAATTGTACAGTCAGTATTACTTACCACATCAGTTGGAATGATAAGTTTGTGACACAAATTACCTCATTAGGAAATTACTAGGAGCAAACACTCCAAGATACAGCCATTTTGGTTGCCATAGAAAGTAAAACATCATGGCAAGTGAAAAAATTTTGACCACAAAATTTGTCACCAAAAGTTGCAAATTTGGCAACCTCTTGTTGGTATGCAGACATCAGCATGTAGCAAGCACTAATGTCTTAACTTGATAGTTATGGACTAGAGAGAGCATATGTGGTCTGAAGAAAAATTTTCACAACAGTTAAAGAAAAATGAAGCTACCATTTGATTTAATGCCCAGGGCACCTATTTACTTTCAGAACCTCAAGCAAGGGTGCTTATTGGAAACAGGGCAATAAATAGGGACAGGGTGCTTATTTCTTTATTGAGAAACAGCAGAATATAAAACAAAACTTTTGTATTTGTTTGAGTGAGGATGAAAAAAGACTGAAAAATGGAATGGTTGTCCCTGGATTCTTCCCTCCTATAACAACTAGCCAAGCAATAGCTGCCAAACATTAAAACAGGATTTTTTGGTTTGAAGGAACTGTGCACTGATCTCAATGTACATGTATTCTAACAGTGCTATTACTGAAATGGAATAGCTATAGGGGCACTTAATGGAATAGGAGCAGTTAATATAATAAGGGTGCTTATTCAACAGGAGTGTTATTAACAAAAACAAATTTGAAGAGTAATAATCATGATTTAAAATGTTGAATTCTTCATTTACCTCTTGTTCATGATGACAATAGCTGCATTTAAGGTGAGTTGCGTGGCTTGCTTTAGCTTCCTCATTGTCACATTCTTTGGAGTTGTTATGGCAACGGTGGCAGGAATAGAAGTTGTTACAGCAAGGGAAACGTACTCTACAATGACGTTGGTAATGCTCACAAAGCCATAAAGATTGTCCAGTAACTGGTTCCTGCTGTTGAGGCCATCCTCTGGCTTCCTCTAGCTCCCTTGCTTCTCTTTCTCTTTTCTTACGTGCTCTTTCTGCTCGAATTTCACGCTCTTTTCTTTCAATTTCTCGGCCAAACTCTTCTCTTTCTTCTCTTTCTCTAAGCACTCTTTCCACCATAGCACATGCTTCCTCCACACGCTGTTCCAACTCAAGCAAGGAGTTGTCAGTGGACTCCACTGATTCTGTGCCATAGTTTTCATTTGGTATTGAACCTCCAGACTGGGCAGAATTTTCATCATGATCTCCTCCCGTATTAGCACCAGATGTTATGCAAGAGCTTGAAGAATTACCAGCACTGTTCCCTTCTCTATAGGTTCCAGAGGCCAAATGATCACCTATTGTGTTCAATATGCTGCTTGAGTTCCTACGTCCAGATATATCCACAACATCCCTAATTGAAGATGAAGAGACTGGTGACAAATGGGTATTCCCACCAAATTCCAACTCTAATAAAAGTCTGCTGTCTGATTGATTAGCCATTGCCACTGAAGATAAAGTTTGAAAATCTGTTGAAGCATTTGGTTGGTGACTATAACTTTGAGTATTACTTGTTGAAGTAGCCAATAATCCTAAATTTGAGGTTGATGGTGTTTGCATTTGCAAAGGCTCCAGAGGTAAAGCTGATGTTCTAGTGAAGCCAATGTTACTCTGTATACCAATTACAGAATGTGTCATTTGAGGTCCTGTAGTTCCCAGAAAGTCAGGGGTCAATCTTGAACCAGTGAACCCTGACTGTAGAATATCACTACTACACAAAGATGAAAATTGGTCATGTTGGAGAAGTCGAGGCTCTTTTATGTCAGATGCTAAAAAATTAGGATCAAATGAGTTGAAGTTACTGTTTGTGTTGGTATTACCTCCAATATAGCTATACAAGGGTCCAGGTAGAAGTACAGAATTACCATTAAGTGTGTTGTGATATGGGTTGCCATCTTCACCATTTCCTCTAATAGATGCTCCCCCAGTCAAAGGAAATACTGAAGAATAAGGTGAGTAATATGGTGGATCTGGCCTTGAAGTAACTTGAAAGTCACCCTCTACATGAGAATTGCATGCGCCTTGTGAAGAAAAATCTTTAGCCAACATCTCCTCTGCGTAAGTGTAATACAGACTCTTATGAAGATGTTTGTCTTCAGAGTGTCTTGCTAGGAATGCATTGGCCACTCCTGCAACTTGTTGAGGAACCGGGTCAAGCGATGAGAAGCAAAGCGAACTACATTCTGAAGATCTGTTTCCTTTAGAAGGTCTGTCTCTTGGTCTAGCACCTAGATGCTCCCATTTACTTGACTGATTGCTTGTGTGACAATCAGACTGATCTATGCCTGTGTCTATTTGATCAGTGACCCTTACAACTGAGAGATTTTGCTTCTGAGTTGTATCTTTATGTGCAAAAGGACCTTGATTTACACTAGCTACATCTACCTCTACTAGCTTTAAACTACTTTGAGTTCTATTGGGAATGCTGACAGAACCATCTACAAGATCACCATCACAAAAACTATTATAGCTATCTAGGTCTTCCCTTTCTCTTTCACCCTTTGCAGCACACCCTCCTTTCATCTCTTCATTTTCAAATTGTCTATTTTCCAGGAATGATAACAAATACCTCTCTTGGTTGTCCTCTCCACTACTCTCCCAAGCCTTCACAGCTTGATCAAAATTCAGAGGTGTGGTAATTGAACATAAATTTGAATCTCCTGTTGATGGCTGCAAATTATTGGCAGAATTGGTTGATGACTGTGACAAACTAGAAACTGAACCACAACTCTCAGTCAATAACCTAGAATTACTAATGTCTCTAATAGAACTTGATTCAGGTAAATTATCTGCATTTAAATTAGAGAGAGTCACATCACCATCACTGTAAAATGTGTTTCCAATGGAACAGCTACAAATTGGAGCCTGTTCATCAATCTCAGTAGTTTCGTTACTCTCTCTGTGTTCTTCCGATTCATCAGAAATTTCATCAGCTTCATTATAGGAACTCTCAGGCACCTCATTCACCTGATTTCCTTCTGGACAAAAGAAACTGTCTCCCTCTGTTAAAGTACCATTTTTATTGCACCAAGTTGTAATTTGCTCTGCAAGATAAAAAAAGAATTCATTCTTATTGAAACAGCTGATAGATTCCAACATTCCATTTCTTTTGAGTGTTCTCTGATATGACTTAATGAATAAAAATATATTTCCCTTCTTCTGTAACCACCACAAAACTTTCTCTCATCTTGAACTAAATTTTAACAAAGACTTATCATAGAGGACTTGAGGTTTGAAAATTGGGGAAAATCACTTGGGTGACATATCCCCCAGTTTTGCCCCCCTGTAGGGAATCTTCCATCAACTGATGCATTTTGACCAAATGCACACAGCAAACATATTTTATGGATCATACCCTTCAATATTGCACAGCTTGTAATCTTGATAGAACGAGATACAAATTCTTAAAAGAGCCATACCATGCTTATGTAGTGACCATCAAGAATTTAAAAGATACCGCTATCCAAGCAATAAATAAAATAATTTTATTGCATTGATCCATCCAGCAACTGTTTGTAAAAACTTAAGAGACTTGTTTAGGGGCCTCTATAACTTTCAACCAATTTTTTTACCTGATCTGTCCATAGAACCTGCCTCGTGAAGTAGTTCCCCTTCATAAGATGCTTCTCTGGTGGTACCAAGCATACTTTGCTCATGGGAATGTTTATTCAGCAACTTCCGACGTCTTTCTTTACTTTCAAAGAACAACTGTCTTCCCACCTCAGCTTCAAGTCTTTGTTTCTCTTCTTCCATTTGAGTCAATTTCTCTTTCAATTGACTTATTTCATCCTCTTGTTTACTACAACGATCCTGATAGGCAGCAATATCATCTTGCAACTTGCTGTTAGAAGCATTGATTGTGTCATTGGATCTCTGCAATTGGCTAACAACAACACTGTTTTTTTGACAACATGGGCATGCACAATTTAACCGTTCACTCTGTTTGAATTCGTGGTAGTTATGTTCAATGCTATCATTCACAACCACAGTTTTTGTGTCATAACTATCTTCCCTTGACAGTAAATCTTCTTCATTACCTGACATCTCATCAAAGTCAGTCTGTAACTTTGTTGAACTATCAGATAAAGGCCTAGCACTAGCATATTCCTCTTGATAAGTGTTCTCTGTCGATTCAATAAATGCTTCTTCAGACACAGATGGTGACCTCCTCAATGGGTAATCTGCCATTGCTCTTAGAATGCTAGAACTTATAGGGATCCAGTTCAGGGATAATGTCCAGCCAACTGATATCAGAGATTTATTAAACCGCTCATTACTACTGCACTGAATGTTGGGTGTACAAGTCTCATTTTCATTTTCAGGTTTAGTCTCCATAGAGTTACCACTGAACTCCTTGAACTGATCCCCAAAATGGCTTTCTGCCTCCAATTTGTAACACAATTGATGACATTTCTCTAAGGGAAAATTTTCTCCACTCAACTTTCCCAGAACATAAATCAGGGAAACATCTTGTTCAGGAGCTTTGAAGGCATCTTGTGCTATTGTTATGGGGTGATAAAATTCTTGAGAAATTGCATTCTGTAGCAAATGAAGTATTTTGTTTAATATGGGGCTTTGAAGACTGTCATGAAATTTTCGACTGTGAGGTTTGATGTTAAACTCAACCAATAAACACAACCCTCCTGACTTACTAGGCTGAGTATGAACATTCATTTTAAAGATGACTTCAGACAGCATGTCGCAATCTATTTCATATTGGGACATACCATTACTTAATTCTTTCTTGATACCATTTTTCACATGGCTGACATCTCTCACAGCCTGAGCACCATCAACATGACAGGAGGTCAGTGGAGGGTCGATTTGCTTCTTCCTCACTTTTTTTAAGACTTCTTGCATTGAATGTTGTGAAATAAGGATCCCATAAAAAAGCTTGTTAAAGTTAGCTTCCTCAGGAGGTAATGCCACTGCTCCAATGGTATTCAAATTCATGACTGGTCCAGGATTACAGCTACAACAAATTCAGCTGCTCAGCCAAGTAAGATTGATCAATGTTCTTTTAC